TGCCTCTTGTATCCGGAATGGCGCAAGTGGTATTTCACGTAAGGATTTGCCGGAGATGGCAGGCTGATGACGATACTGGCGTCTTGCAACCTGGTTTCGGAGAGGCAACAGATGTCCAATGAGAACGTCTAAAGCGTGCAGGCCAGACATGCTTGTCGTCCGATCCGCATCAACGTGCGCACATTGAACGCTGCAAGGTCGAATGGAGGAACAGAATGAAGGAAAGCTTGGGCTTCGGTTGAGCATGCAGAAGCTGTGACCTACCGGCATCATCATCATTATACACGTTAGCTGAAGGTGGAAAACACCTCAGCTATTGTGCCGCAATATAAAAGACAAGAAAAGGAAAACAAACAGTGGCACACCGGCTGAGTCCCCAGTAACGGATGCACATCGTTCCGGAGAGCTAACAGTTGGCTACCATGTCGTTAAAAGGGAGTTATATTATGCCTAACGAGTGAGATGGTGTTTGGACGGGGATGCTAAGCAGGAGGGGATGGACAAAGGAACTCAAAACACAAGCTCCACTGGGGCCGGCTCTTAACCATATCAACAAGTCTGTCCGACCAAACGTGTTAATCGTCCTTAGGACCCTAGCCAGGCAGTCGGGGTTCATCAACCGACGCCAGTTTGGAAGTGAGGCTTTTCATTCCTCTCGACCAAGTCATCACTTGGCCTCCCCTCCTCCCCTTCCAACGCACCCCCGGCGCACAAACAATACACGTCGCGGAAGTCGGTGTGCTGGCATGCGCAACACGTGGCCCAACCATCGGAGCCTGGTGGGTGATATAATGGTGCTGAGCGGTTCACTGGCTCTTCCTGCACCAAATACGCGACGTCAAACACGCTCACTGCTCACGCGGTGTTCCCACCAGACATGAGCTAAGCTGCAAAGGCAGCGATGATCGAATATGACGAGGCTATTTATGTCTGTCGACCTGATTGGTCAGGTTTCACAACCATATAGGAGAGTTGAACGGACGGCTGCGTTGTAAACTCTGTCCTTGAGGGTGAGAGTAATGTCGCGTCTGCGTCACAGGTGGCGGAGTTTGGCAAAAGCACCTCGAGCTTCTGCTATACGGTTCGTAATCTCATCTTCAATCCCACGGGTGCTAATATAGCTGCCCAGGTACTTGAATTTCTGAACGACTACTAGCAGATCACCACCAAGCGTTAGGGCAGGGTTGGGTCCCTGCCAATCTTGGAGAAGTACTTTGCATTTAGATGGAGCAAAGCATAGCCCAAAACGATTGACAGTCAGTGCTAATCGGTCCAGCGTTGCTTGGCATGTTTGGGAGCTATCACAGATTAGGATAATATGGTCCGCATACTCCAAGTCAAGAAGTCGCTCACCAGGAAGTAGCTCCACACCTTCTAGGTCGTGTCCAGCGAACGCTGTTTCCATGACTTCATCAATAGCGAAGTTGAACAGGAAAGGTGACAGCCGGCATCCTTGTCTCACACCGCTGGTGATACTGAAGGGTAGCGACAGTTTGCCATAAACCCTCACCCTGCCCGAGCTATGCGCGTACAGTGCTTTGACAATGTTTACGTATTTATCAGGCACACCTTTCCTCAGCAGACAGCCCCAAAGGCACATCGATCGACTGAGTCGAAGGCACCTTTTGGGTCAAGAAACACGACAACGGTGGGTCGCCAATAAACATGGCGGTGCTCCAACACTTGACGCAATGTGAAGATGTGGTCGATGCAGCCCCGACCTCGACGAAATCCGGCTTGCTCCTCACGAATCTGGCTTTCACGAGTGCCAGTCAGTCTGTGGAGAATGACAGAGGCAAACAATTTAGAGGCAATCGAAATCAGACTGATCCCTCTATGATTGCCGCATTCCAAACGAGAGCCTCCCTTGAAAATTGAGACAATGACGGAGCGGTTCCAGTCTGTCGGGACTGTCTCCTGCTCCCAAAGTTTTAGTAGCAACTCGTGTATATTACCTATTATAGCAGGTCCCCCGAATTTTAAGAGGGCTGGGGAAATTCTATCTGCCCCTGCGGCCTTATGCAATTTCAACAGCTTGATCACACGTTCGACTTCTGCACGTGATGGCGGATTCAAGGAGACGGCCCAGGGAGAAGGGCGCTCAATGCCCGAAGAAGAAAGCGATAACTCAGGTTGATTAAAATGCCTTACAAAGTGTTCAGCCCAACGCTCCAAGCGTTTTGACAGGCTGTGGATCGGCTGCCCACTCTCGTCGCGTATGGTCTCGCTAACACCAGGTCTTCTGCTGCCTGTTTCCCGTATCAGACGGAATAACTTACGATGATTACCAACGGCAGCGGCTGTTTCCATTTCCGATGCACCATGAGACCACCACGTTTCGCGATCCTTCTTTAGGCTAGCACGTAGTTTTGCCCTGAGATTTTTGAGAGTCTCATTGTATTCGCTTCCAGCCGGAATACGTCGGCGAGCATCCACAAGTTCCAGAGACTGCGTAGAGACCCAATGTCCGGTTTGGCAATTTGCTTTGCCACATGAAGACATGCCTGCCAACAGTAACTTTTGACGAAGATGCGACCAGTGATCTTCGACGGTGTTCAGTGGGGGCATATTCAGCCCGGATGTCAGCGCACTTTGATACACATCCAGAACACCTGGCTTCACCACCTGGTTGGTGTCAATCTGTTCACTTTGATTTTGCGGACGTCCATTGAAACACACCCAGAGGTCGGCACAGGCAAGTGTGTGGTCAGAGTGCACGCTCGTGCTCCAAATCGAGCAACAGTTTTGGACACAGTCTCTCCAGCAGTAACTGATCGTGATATGATCAATTTGCGTCCATGGCTGGCCCGAGGCTGGTGGTCTCCAAGTCACATTTCTGCGGGTGCTGTATTAAAAGTTAGTGCTCGCTAGAAAGAGGCGAGCATCTTCACACCGCTGTATCAATCGCTCATCGTTATCCTTACGGGAGCCTACACCATGTTGACCGCCCAGATGAAGCTCATCAGAGGGCAATTTTTCGACTTGGGCATTTAGATGATCAGCCAACACCACAGTATACGTGCTTCTTCCGTAACGAAGGAGATCGTGAAGTTGCTGATAGAAACCATCTTTTGCCGAATCAGTGCCACAGATTATAGGGACCTAGGCCGCAATAACAAACAGGCACCGTTTGTCCCCGTGCGACTTCGGAGCACGAAACGAACCAGCTAATCTAACGACACACATCCTACTGTTTAGTAGGAGCCAATCGATCAGGACAGCTTCAGCCCGAGAACTCAAAACAATGACGGCGCCCGCTTGACCGGCAGTTGAAGCTACACCATCGTTAGACAGGCGCAATGAGAATGTGCGGCCAGTGTCGCATGTGGGGGATCGCAAGGTAAACACGAAGCTCGAATCTTGCAGGCGGGTTTCTGCTACACAGCAAATATTAGTCGATAGGGTCTCTAACGTGCGGGCAAGTGCTGCCTGTTGGCCAATCTGCAGCAAAGTGTGCACGTTGAGTCATACCAGTCTTAGCGAGACGCGAGGACTCCAAGCGGAAAAGGATGAACTGACGTTGTCCGCTTAGTTAAACATGGACTTGTCGACTGGATTGAAGCGACTCCCTGCGATTGTGTATGAGTTGAAACTAGAAGACAAGCCACTGTTGAAGCAAGCTGGGGGAGAGCCAGGCATTGGGAGAGTGAAAATGGGTGGATAAAAATAAAGTTGAAGAGGGACAGTAAGGATAAAGAAGTGCAAAAAGGGGGATAAGAAGACGGGAAGGCTTGAGCAGCAGCATTCAAACCCTTATCCACCTTGCTCGATGCAGAAGACAGGACGCCGTTTATTTTCCTCTGCGACGACCAGAGCATCAAGAAATTGTTTGATGAAGGGTTCATTGTATTGCGTGGACAGAATACTGCCAGGTTGTCCAGGCCAAGACAAGAGAACAATTAGGGTTCTCATTCAAAGCTATTGGTTCAAAAACCTGACCGCAAGGCAGCGGGTTTTGGCACTGGACTACAGAGAGCCCGTGTTATGAAATAAGAAGCCACCTTCATTCCAACCCCAACCTTGAGGACCAGGAGGCTGAGTTTGTCTAGCCTCTAATCATTGACCGATCTGGTATGAGTGGCTCTGAAGGTGCAAAAAGAAGCACCACCCAGCATAGCTCAATGGATCGCTGAGGCACTCAAACAATCGCACAACCGTAAGTTCCAGCTTCATTGCGATGGGTCCAGCCTCATTGTGATGGACCACCGGGCAACGAACACCAAACGTTTGGCCCAGAACTCTGTCAGATGTGACCAGTGAGCTGTTGTTGACGGTGGCCGAGGAAGACATAGATGCAGTTGAAGAAGTGGACGTGGGACTATCTGTGAACGAATGTTGAGCAGCAGAGGCAGTGTAGTCAATAGAAATAGCAAGCGGGAAAACAGCAGTGTAATCAATCCATGGTTCGTCAGTGGGCGTGATACTACCCGGTTGCACAGGCCGAAGTATAAGGTTGTCTTAGGGGCCTCCCCCCGGAGCCATTGTTCCAGTATCTAATCTACAAGGCAGAAAGGCCATATTGTAGAGGGGCCGCTTCCAAGAATGGCGCTGGGGAGCTCTTCGGAGCTAGCTGAGAGCGGATCGCGAAAGACGGCTAGCGACGAGCCTGGGCCCGGAACTACGGAGCGGGAATATGTGGACAGCGCAATAAATCAGACAAATACGCCGCTAGCGCAGCCCACAGGACCGAGGCCGAGCCGATTGACACAGCCCAGAACAAGCAAGTCGAGAGCTCTCGAACGACTCCTGGCCGATCCAAATCGGGTGCAGAGAAGCGGAGATCGAGGCGAAAACAGGAAGGCGGATCTTCCAAGTCAGAGCTCCCGAGGCGAAAGGACTGGCTCGACTCTAACATCCGTACCTGTGTTGCGTTGTGGGACGGAAACCTAGTCGATATTCGATGGCGCGCGCGAGACCCTCATGTGCCCATTTTCGGTGCGCAATAAACGTCTACCCCCTGTCTTGTCGTTCTCGCTACACTGGTGCCGTGACCAATCGCGATGGAGTTGACCCGGTTGGAGCAATTTGCGGCCGGTGACGTGGAGGCGTGGCTCGATGAGTTCGACGGAATTGCGGCTTGCACGGGTGTGAGGGGGGATGCAAATTTGCTAATTGCTTTGGGCACACGGTTGAGTGGACGAGCCAAGGCGGTGTATTTGCTCACTCGGAAGGCCAAACCCGGTTGTTCGTTCGCTGAGATGAGGGCTGCCTTGTGTGCAGAATTTGGGAAGGATCTGGAGAGAGAACGAGCACTGCAACGATTTCACGCAGCCAGGTGGGACGAACAGGAGGATTTGATGGTGTTTTTCCAGCAGCTGGACAGACATCTAACGATTGGACTCCCCGAGTTAGAGGGCAAAGCAAGAGAGCGCCTACTGAAACAGCAGTTTATCCGAAGTCTGCCCGGTCCACTCCATGATCAGGTGAAATTGGCGTCGCTGGTGGGAGACAGCAAAGCATTGGATCTGGTGACGGTCGCCCAGAATTTGTCGGAACGAGTGACAGTGAGAAGCATCCAGCATGCTGAGTTGGAACAGAAAGTAAATCGCCTATCCGAAATGGTGGAGCAGCTGTTGTCGATAGAGTCTTCAAGCACCACTTCACAACGCAATGTACGGGTAATCCGGAACGGTCGCCGCTGTTTCCGATGCAACCAGAATGGTCATGTGGCGAGATTCTGCACCAACGTCAATGTGCCCCATTGTTTCTCTCTATCCATGCCGAGTCGGTGGCGAGTACCAGTCTTCCAGGTAACTATAGAAGGTGTGTCTATCCGAGCCGTAGTAGACACAGGAGCGGCAGTGTCGATTACGAAGAGGTTCAATGGGGTTCCAGTAAACCCATCTTCAATCACGATGCAGACGGTCGGCGGGCATTCTTTTAAAGTGACGGGCACGCAGCGGTTACGAATCAGGATAGGAGAAACGCTCATCAGCCATGACATGTTCATCGTGGAGGAGACGACCGAAACCATCATCGGAACCGACATCCTGAAACGGCTCGGTGTCACAATTGACCTGAAAAACGATGTGGTGATCGTGGCTAACGAGACGATCGAGATAAACAAGGGGAGAACCGACCGGGTTGGTGCCCTCAAAGCCGTGCCTGGTTGTCAGAACCGTTCAATACGCAACGTACTGAGCAGGTATGCCCACTTATTCACAGACGCGGAAGATGATTACGGATTTTGCAATTGGGTTGAACACCGAATACCGTTGATCCCAGGAGGACAATGCAAGCCAATCTTCAGACGAATTCCACAGAACACCCTGGTGGAGATACAGAAGCAGGTGACCGAGATGGAATCGAAAGGAATCATCAGGCGAACGCACAGCCCGTATTCATCACCCGTGCTATTGACGAAGAAGGCCGACGGAACCTATCGATTTTGCATCGATTTCAGAGAACTAAACAGGGTGACGGTGAAGGATGCATTCCCGATGCCTCAGATGGAAGAAATTTTCTCAAGCCTTCACAGTGCGAAGCAGATATCTGATTGATCTCCGCTCGGGATATTGGCAACTGCCAATCGCAGAAGAAGCTCGCCACAAGACGGCTTTCAGTGTCAATGGCCAGCAGTATGAGTTTTTGAGAATGCCGTTTGGATTGTGCAACGCCCCGGCTACATTCAGGCGTTTGTTGCTGATGGTCCTCGCGAACCTGCAAGGCGTGGTTGTGTACGGTGATGACATCATCGTCTTCTCTGGGACGGAACAGGAACATGTGATCAGACTTGGAGCAGTACTGCAGAGGCTAGATGAAGCTGGTCTGAAACTCAGTCGTAAAAAGTCGCAGATTGGCCAAAAGTCAATTGTATGCTTGGGTCATATCGTGGGCAATGGTCAAGTCCATCCACTTCCGGAGAAACGCGAGACGATCAAGTGCTTCGCAAAACCAAAATCCAAGCGTCAGCTCCGTTCGTTCTTGGGAGTGGTGGCATATGATTCAAAGTTTGTGCCCCAGTTCGCAGAGAAGGTCAGCCCGTTGTTGAAGCTGCTTCGCAAGGACGTGCCCTTCGTGTGGACAGCTGAAGCGGATCAGGCCTTTGACCATCTAAAGGCAGGCATCGCAAAAGCCCCGACATGTCTACGGCTACCCAATCCTGGTGAGAGGTTCACTGTGGCTGTCGACGCAAGCAACGTGGCCATCGGTGCGGTTTTGTCTCAACCGGCTGGGGTGGTGGAGTACGCGAGCAGAGTGCTGACGGGGGCGGAACAGAAGTATTCAACAACGGAGAAAGAATGCTTGGCCATCGTGTGGGCGTTAGAGAAGTGGAGAAATTACTTACTGGCGAATGAATTCCGGGTCGTCACTGACCACAAACCGCTTTCGTGGTTGATGACGGCGAAAGACCCGCGGGGACGGCTTGCGCGATGGGCCTACCGACTGCAGGAATTCAACTTCACCATTGAGCACGTGGATGGAACGCAGAATGTATTGCCAGATATGTTGTCACGCCCGTGTTTGGACGACATCATGCCAGACAATGCCAAACCGGTGCGTGCGATCGCGATGGGGGAGAGGAACCTGCTGGGAGATCAAAGGACATATGAATTTGTGAATGTGTTGTGCTCTCACTTACGGGCTGGCACCAAACCGGAGGCCACATCGGAGGAGGTGGAGGAACTCCTCAAGATCTGGGACAGTTTGAAGGTCGAAAACGATAACGTGGTGGTGGCGATAGACGGACAGAAAGTGCCTTTTGTTCCACCAAATCAGCGAGAACGTGTGATGCGCATAACTCATGATGGCGCCCATATGGGATTCGAGCGGGTCTTTGAATTGCTGCGGAGGCGAGTGTTTTGGCCAACCATGAGGAAGGACGTCGCGGCATACATTCGGGGGTGCCCAAACTGCCAAACGAGTCGGGAGATGGAGTCCCCGAGACCGCCGATGCGATCGATGGAGGTTGGTGAGCCACTTCAGTGTTGGGGACTGGACGTCTTTGGACCCTTACCAGTGAGTCGAACAGGAAACAGATACATTCTAGTGATGATTGACCACTTCACTCGATGGGTGGAAGCCATACCAATCAAGGACCAAACAGGCGAGACAGTGTCGCAAGTATTCGAATTCAATGTGCCCGCAAGGTATGGGATCCCACAGTGTATCATCACGGACCAAGGGCCCTGCTTCGAGTCAAAAGCGTTTAAGGCATTGTTGGACAAGTGGGGCATCCAGAGACGGCGAACTTCACCGTACCACCCACAAACCAACGGGATGACCGAGCGGTTCAACCGGACATTGAAGACGTGGATAAACTGCACGAAGTTGGCATGGGAAGATGCTTTGCCTCAGGTTCTGATCGCGTATCGGACCAGCATGCAATCAACCACCAAGGTCTCGCCATTCGAATTACTGTTCGGCAGAGAACCACGGATTGCGCTCGATGCTTGCCTACCGAACCAGGGTGAGTGGAAACATCCAGCTGAGCATCAAGAGCGACTGCGATGGAAAGCTAGAAGCGAAACCAAAGCTCGACAAGCGCGGAATAAGCGAAATTACGACGCCAGGCATGAGGCTCACAAGTGGAGGCCATTCGGGATTGGAGAACGGGTCAGGTTACGGAACAACGATCGGCCGGATCATGACGGGCCGGGCGCAAGCAAATTCAGAGAACGCTGGAAAGGCCCCTACACCATTATCGACCAGAAAGCGGGCAACTTCTTAATCGACTGCGGAGGAATGAAACGTTGGGTGAATGCTGCTCTCCTGCGACCATGGTACGAGAGGAAGAAAGGTCCTGGAGGAGGGGCGGGTGTAGAGGGGCCGCTTCCAAGAATGGCGCTGGGGAGCTCTTCGGAGCTAGCTGAGAGCGGATCGCGAAAGACGGCTAGCGACGAGCCTGGGCCCGGAACTACGGAGCGGGAATATGTGGACAGCGCAATAAATCAGACAAATACGCCGCTAGCGCAGCCCACAGGACCGAGGCCGAGACGATTGACACAGCCCAGAACAAGCAAGTCGAGAGCTCTCGAACGACTCCTGGCCGATCCAAATCGGGTGCAGAGAAGCGGAGATCGAGGCGAAAACAGGAAGGCGGATCTTCCAAGTCAGAGCTCCCGAGGCGAAAGGACTGCCTCGACTCTAACATCCGTACCTGTGTTGCGTTGTGGGACGGAAACCTAGTCGATATTCGATGGCGCGCGCGAGACCCTCATGTGCCCATTTTCGGTGCGCAATAAACGTCTACCCCCTGTCTTGTCGTTCTCGCTACAATATGAGGGTATCACAACCCGTTGGCAGCCGGTGACCAATCAAGTGGTTCATACGCTTTTAGGACTGCATAGGACCAGAGGCCCAACACACCCTTGAATTACAATGCCGCCCAGACAGGCAAGGGTCAGTGACTTTATATAATTGCGAGTCACATCCGACACGTCACAGTAATGTTAGACGGATATATGTGGCTTTTTATAGGGAGAAGGCCTGCCAGGCGAAAACCCACCACGTCCTGAAACCCTGTCGCCGAACCATTCGCTGGAACTGGACAATGCCGAACCACCCAGCTGGCACGACGAGTTGTTCGGCAAGCCACACATGGGGAGCTCTAATTGCTCCTCGTATTACCTTGTTCGCACATTCCATTCTAACTTAAAACAATCACTGTGCAGCTATGCTGATAAATCGGTAAACACATAAACTGACATTTCACTTACCCTTTGATTCCTTTAATTCTCATTCCAACCATCTTACAGGAGTTGTCAAGCACCTGCTTCGTTACCAGTGATTAATCACTGTTTATATTCTATTGTGTCTGCCCTAATTTGATGCATTTGTCAAAAAATCCACCGAATACCAGAATACGAATCACAGACTCATGCTAATGGAGACGTCAGTGGAGCTGAATATGGGAAGCTTCTGCCTCAGTGCGGTTGATCACGCGCTCGATCGAGTAGGCCAGTGAGTGCTTAAGAAACCAAATAGATACTTTTACTTTTCCTCATACTTGTAAGTAGAAGGCTTGTGTGCGGAGCATGTGTGAGTTTTTTGCCTTGACGTGGCTGGGAGTGGCAGAGATTAGAGGTAAGAAGAATAATTTACAAGAGTGGCGATAGGAGTCAGAAAAATCCAAAGATGTCAGTCAGTTTTGAACAACTGCAGGCTCTGTTGCAGCAACAGGAAGCGCAGTTTTGGAAAGCACAGGCCAGGCTGATTGAAAAGCTGACCAAGAATTTGTCACTTTAAGCAGACTGGGTAACAGGAGCAAGTGCAACTGGCCTCAAAACAGAAATCTTGACCCAGCAAATTTGTAAGTTCCGTTAAAATGCCGATGACGGTATTACCTTTGAATTATGGTTCCATAAGTACGAAGACTAGTTTCGCGTTGATTGAGCTGGTGTCTCAGTGGACATGTGAGTTCGCCACATGCTACGGAAATTGGGTGCGGCAGAGTATGAAAAGTGCATGAATTTCGTCTTACTGAAGAAGAGCACTGGTTTAACATTTGATGAAGAGGTTGCTAGTTTGTCGCAGATATTTGGAGAGCAGTCATCATTATTCAATATGCGATTCAGGTGCCTGACAGTGACCAGGTGAGACGATCAAGACTGGGTTACTTACTCGTGTCGTGTAAATTTTGCGTATGAACGGTCGCTGTTTCACAAGATGACAGGTGATCAGTACATGTGCCTTATTTATGTTTGCGGTCTTCAAGCGACCAAAGATGCTGATGTCCGAACAAGATTACTGA